GACAATTGTGGCCTCAGTGTAGGACATAATGTACAAGAAAACAATAATGACAATTGTGGCCTCAGTGTAGGACATAATGTACAAGAAAACAATAATGATAACTGTGGCCTCAGTGTAGGACATAACGTACAAGAAAACAATAATGACAACTGTGGCCTCAGTGTAGGACATAATGTACAAGTAAACAATAATGACAACTGTGGCCTCAGTGTAGGACATAACGTACAAGAAAACAATAATGACAACTGTGGTAGAGTTATATAGCCTGTTAACAAAGGATAGCCTGTCTCTCTTAGTACTACATATTGGTTAAGGTTTAGTATTTTCATCTTCTTTACATCATTAAGAATAATAGTGTGATGTATTCTGTTCATTAAAGTTGTTTCGCTAGACAAAAAAAAAAAAGCATGTCAGTCAGGAAGAGGTTATGACCTGTGTTACATATAACAAATATGAGTAAAAAATAAAAGAAAATGTAGATATACCATAATAACATGCACATAAGCATATCAAAAATAGTAATGTAAGTATGTCTCTAAAATTGTGGGAGGGCCCAAGCCAAAAAGGCCTGATAAACTTAAGAATTGCTAACAAAGGGAATATATGTAGGAGCTCAATTACTTTACTTTACATATATATATAGACATTTCCATTGTACACCTTAAGTTGTAAAGAAAACTTAAATATATTGGTTTACATAAATATACGTTTTTAGTTATAAAGGTGTAAAAGAAAATCAGAAGCATAAGTGTACATTGGAACCAGTAATGATCCAAGCTGTTGAATTGTATCCAAAAATAATGGTTATTTGCATGCCAAAAAAATATTAAACTTACAAACGTTGAACACCCATATTACCTGCTGTACGAGGTACTATGTCTTTCCTAAGAAGGATCCTTATCCTGCCAATTTCCTCTCCTCCTATTTTAATATCAAGGTACACTTCTGGATTGTTCTTCACTTTCTTTTTCTGTGGTTCTTCTTCCTCCTGTTCAGTAACATTAGATTCAATTAATAAACAGGATTGTTCTTCACTTTCTTTTTCTGTGGTTCTTCTTCTTCCTGTTCAGTAACACTATATTTCAATAAATAAACAGTTTGTAAGTAAAATATCAAGCTACAATAAAAAATGTATTATACCTCAGCTTCCTGAGCAGGCCGTTTAAGGCCTTCCTTCTCCTGGTCTTCCAGTTCTAATGTCTCACCAGCGTGTTGTTTCAGCCACGTATCATCAGCCCAAACTGAAATTTGAAAAATTATTCACAAAAATGAAGTTAATAAACACTTGAAAACCAATAAAACAGACAGATAATAAGGCATAAAAATAGAACATGAGAATTAGGAAAACTGTTTGTAATTTGAAAGGTGTTGTTAATAGCTTGCAACTATCTAAGAAGTTTTGAATGATACCTCGAGATGCTAGCACAGATCTTCACCTGGTCAAATTGTTCAAACTTTATCAGATAGGAATGTGGCTGTTGTTGTGAGCTGAAAACAACAAGTTAAACAAAAAGGACTGAGATCGAGGCTGTAGGAGATAGCTCCACTAGAGAAGTATTGTGACATCATCATACGAAACTAGAAAAACTGCTCATAAGAAATAAGGTACAAGTATATTTCACAGTACACAGGCATAGGACAGGTCATTTTCGACACCAGTACAAGTATATTTCACAGTACACAGGCATAGAACAGGTCATTTTCAA